TTCCTCGCTAGCTGCCGCCGGTGGAGTTCGCTGGCTACGAGCTTCCCCGAAGCCCCGTGCTGACCGAACCTGACATTGATCAGACCCCACATTATCTATTTATTATTTCAATTTGTATGGCTGCCCAGTTGCCATGTCACTCTGGATGGCTAACATCAAGTTATAAAGTCCAGTTTTGGGCACTGGAGTTCAAAAAAGACAGTGACAAATTGGAACAAATTCAGAAGAGGACTACCAACATGGTGAAGCATCTGGAAACCAAGACATATCAGCAAAGGATGCTTAACCTAAAGAAGAGATGTCTGAATTGAGATACAATAGCAGTCTTCAAATATACTTGCAGAGTTTTGAAAATTCAAGTAATGTGCAAGTTGTTTTAGGGTCAGGCCTAGTGAATTATCAGAAAGCCGTAGACCTTAAACTTTTATTGGTTGAGCCCTTAAACCTTTTCAAAATGGCCAGGTTTCCAGGCATGTGTCCCTATTCCAACCAGTTTCAGATATTTCTGCAGGACCTTCTACTTTTGATTAAGTGTTCTGACATTCTTTAAGTGAAACCCAGTGAATCATTCATCTCAGCAGATCAGGTTCACTTATTCCATCTTATCCACAAAAAATCACGTTATGATAGTCATGTTTTACCTATCTTATATTCATAGTAAACAGTTCCTGGCTACCGAGTGTCAACTGTGAAATCCAGAAATGTCCTTGGAATGAAGACAGTCAGCAAACAGACTAGCAATGCGCTTTTCAATTTCCTGTCTTTTCAGTTTGGTGAGGAGCAGCCACCAAGCTCTTTTTGATTGATTATGTGCCATCAAGTCAGTGTCAACTCTTAGCGACCACATAGATAGATTTTTCTCCATGACAATCTGTCCTTAACCTGGTATTTCAGGACTCCCAACCGTGCACCTATCACCACTGTAACTGAGCCTGTGTTGTGAATACCTTGTTGCTGGTCATCCTCCTCTTTTTCCTTCCACCTTTCCCAGCATTACATTACATCTTCTCTAGAGAGCTAGGTCTTCACACAATGTTTCCAAAGGACGATAATTTGAGCCTGGTTGCTTGTGCCTCAAGTGAGAACTCTGGATTGATTTGTCTGATTATCCATCGGTTTGTTTTCATGGCTGCCCACAGTATTCTCAGGAGTCTTCTCCAATACCATAGAGTGTTGCAGGAAATACCATTGTTTATACAATTCTGATCTTCACCAAGCTCTTCCATTTGATTAATTAATTAAGGAGTGCCATTTTTAAAATTTACAAAGGATGGTAACTGAGCAATGAAAAAGGGGAGAAGAGAATGATGCTTAAAATGTCTTGATGACTATTTTTGTGGTTAATGATTGGAGCAGATTTAAGCTTGTGGAGGGAATCTAGAAAGGGAGGCAAAGAATAACACAAGAAGGCCAGCCTCTCTTTCTCTCATCATGATTCCTGAAACAACCAAGAATGAGAGAATACATAATATAACTTGGGATAGAAGTGCCAGCCCACAGACAATACAGGAATCATCCTGATGACCCAATAGAGAAGGTTCTCCTTCAGCCAGAGTTTCCTCAAGAGACGGCAGTAGGAGGCTATGCTACAAGGCGAGTCTGCATTTCCTCCAGTTCTTTCGAAATCTGGGATATACAACTTTTTTCAGGCTTTTTTTTTCTTCAAAATAGTCTTTGTATAGCATGGAAAGAACTGTTCTCTGACAGATTGGACAAAAAAGTGAGCCAAGCATTGCAAAAATCAAGTGAGCCAAGCATTGCAAAAATCAAGTTTGATTTAATTTACATCAAATTAAATTAATTAAATACAATTAGCAAGATGTTTCCCTCAAGTATTTAATAATTGTATTCCTTTGGCACATTAAAATTTTCAGTTTGGTAGTAACCTTTGAAAGAATTCCAGTGTCTCTAAATGTGCACCTCTTTCATTTCACTGAACTCAGAATCCATGAATGCTCCCCAAAATAGCCTCTTGAGAGCCAAATCTATCCAGTTCAGTTGACAGAGTTACTTGGCTGCAGAGAGTAAATTATAATATTTGAGAATGCGCCACCCATCGTTCTTCTTAATCAACTAAATGTAGCTCTCATTTCAGAGCAGAATACCTTTGTAAACTCGACACTGAGGGTTAATGGTCAAACATGACTATTTGCATCTGACTTTGTCAGGTTTCCAAAGGCACCATGGTTGGAAAAGAAGAAGCTCAGCTCCTGTTGACTATATGGAAATGCCCATGGAGTTTTGGGGCAACAACATGGAAGTGTTTCCCATTGCCTTCTCTTGAGGTTTTGTTTTTAGTTTCCAATCTAGCCTACAGTTCCTGGTGGTCTTCCATTCTAGCAGTAACCAGACCAAGTCCTGCTTAGCCATTTGAGGTCACCCAGGTGATGCTTCTGTCCTGTTAAGGTAAAAGCAAGGGTCATCTCCCCGTTAGGAACTTCAGTACCTTTGAGAGTCATAGAGTCAACGCTGAGCCAAAATAACAGTAATAACAACAGATGTTCTATCACCTCATCAAAGGCTGATTGATGCTATGAAAATGCTGCAAGGCACTAGAAAGGAAATGGTCAAGTCTCCTTCAAGTCATCCTTGACTCCCAGGGACCAGGATATTTTCCAACTTCCCAGTTTAGCCTACAGCCCTGGGAGCTTCTGTTACAGGAACTTAAAATAAGAAGTCTGAGTAGTAGCTAGTGCTGTGCTGAAAAATTCTCCTGCATCTTTTAACTCTTATTTTTTGGTCATTCTGATGCAATTTGATAGAAAAGAAATGGCTCCCAATTTTTTTTCCCAAAGAGGAGAAAAAAATCTCCTGGGCAAGGCATAGTTTCTCTTGCACATCTCTTGCACTGTCCTCCCTTGAATAATCCTTTCCCAGCAATCTGCAACCGCTTGATCCCAAGACATCATAGTGAAACTCCTGCAGAGCACTTTTCGTGGACAGGAATGCAGAATAATGGAAAGAGGCATAATCAGAAATAAAATAAAATAAAATCACCAGCACACTCTGTTGTCTTGCAACAGTAAACCAAGCTCAAAATCACCACTGAAAGCAAATTTCACATAAGCAAGGAGAAGATTCTAAGACAAAAACCTCTTTTTTAAAGGAAGAAAAGTTCGATGAATTGGAGGACAGATTACAATATAATAATAATACCATCAGTCAGTTGCAAAAGTCAGCTTTACTTGGAACAGCTTATATCCTGAGATGATACCTTTAACACCATCAAACAGTATCTGCCTATCCCAGGTCCTTGGGAAGGACTCGATAGGAGCATAAAAATGCAAATGATGAGGTTGAAGGCTATGCTGGGCAACCAGTCCTTAGCCCTGTAGGATTACTGGAAGAACAACAACCACAGACAAGTCAAAGGTCTGAGAAAAAAAGAAAAGCATGCACTGACTAATGTAAAAGACAGTCAAGAACAAGCACTGATACAAGTAAAAAATTGGAACTTACTGAATGTGC